TGCTGAACCACTGTAAATTGCAATAAGGTGTATTAAGTTCAACCAGAACAAGTTAATTTTTTGCATAGTAACTTAGGTTATAACTGGCAGTAGCTCTGGGCAGCCAGGGTAAGAGCTTCCAAGAGAAGGAATGACAGTTTTTACAGCAGTCCGATTTTAATCTGCCATGTGTCTGAGCCGGAGCAGCAAATTAGAGGGTTTTGCTGACAGATGTTAGGTGGGGGAGGAAAGAATTCAAAGCCTTGTGGGTTGTTTGTTTGCACTTCGGGAACCTGGATTTATCCTGGAAGGAAACAGTTATGAGCTGGGCAAAGTTTAAGGAACAGAAAGGTTTCACAGACTGTTGCCTGGGTAAGGATCAGTAGGAAACTTGTAGGGTGGAAAGATTCCTAAGTGGGAAAGTGGTGGACTGGGTTCAACATAGGAAAGAATGAAGTACTCAGCGAGGTGGCAAGCCGGATACGTAAGACTGTAAGAGTTAGCATATGTTAGGCTAAAGGGCGGGGGCAGGAAGGCAGCTATAGGTGCCGCCTCCTTCTCCAGTGCTTCAACAGATTCACGCTAACTAGGATCCCCTTATTTGACTTTGATTCAATTTATGAGGGGCTGAGGTGAATTGCAGCTGTAGGCCCTAGCGATTCAAGGCATCAGATACGACCAAAGAGCAGAAAGGCAATTAAAACCCCCTTCGCAACTGCCAGGCATACAAATATAGTTAAATAATAATTTAAATTTTTTCTATAGATAATTACATGTCTGACACAAGATAAAGCTCGTGGCAGTGAAGCCACTAACTACTCAGTTTTTAAAACTTTTTACTTTATAATATGAAAAGAAAAAAAAAGCGACCAGTGAGCATTCAGTGTACTGACAACGAATTTTGATAGCGTAGATTAATTTATGCTGTGGCTGTAGACAATTTTGCTCTTTCATGATCTATCACTGTGGTACCACACCAGGATACTAAGCTACACAGACAAACATCCCGCAAGTCATTTATAAACATCATTCCGTTTTGCAGGGCAGCCTAGACCATAACAGCGTTCCATAACCAGTCTGATTAGGAAATGCAGTTGAAGTCCTGTCTACTCTGCAAATTGAAACCATGTTTTTAACTGGGTTAGTGAAAAATACTGTGATGTAACCAGATTCTGAAATGATTACATTTATAGTATAGACAGGGCCTCTACTACTTTGCATGTCTGAGTAAGAATGTGAGGATATATTACAGGATATTGCACTGTCTGTATTTCTGAATTCTAAATAGGTCAAATCCTTTTTATTGTTCAGCTGTAAAGAAAAATCAGGAAGCAAGGAAGGATGAACTGGAGGCATAATGGAGGCTGGCAAGGGCTAAATGAGGCATTTCACAGAGGATGAAGAGCAGGACAACGAGGAAGGGTCAAAAAACTACAAGTTGAACCCCAAAGGCACACAATGCATAGGCCCAACCATCTGCATAATATGCCTGATATCAAGTGACAAGCAATCCTCCTGAGCGACATTTCTGCCATGACCAAAGGCATACCTCCTATTAGGAAATGCATACCAAATGCTGACCTTGTATATTTTCAGCTTCAGTAAAAATCTGATAACCCATAAATATTTTTGGAGCGCGCAAGGCTATTTGAATTTTGGAAATTTAACACCAAGCGCAAAGCATGCCCCAGCATACAACAAACTAAAGTCTCTCAGCGTAGAGTGTTTATTTTAGAAAAGCAATCATCTCAATTACCTGGGAAGTGATTAGAACCAGAGAAGGAAGTTAATGTAGCTAAAACAGAGGCAGGTAAACAGGAGCCTACACTTTAATAGATTAAGAATTAAATGACAATATTAATTCCATTTTAACCTAAATAAGGACAAAGCGCACTTACTCTGGGAAGTCTAACTCAGATATTGACTAGCTTAATATGCATTTCCCCTTGGTGGTTCCAAAGAAGAATTTAGGTGGCTTACGATGCCACTGCATCATGCCATTATGATCCAGGAAGTCACTTTTTTCCCCAAAAGTAATACACGTTTTCACCATAATCAAAGAACAGAAGGCTTCTACCATAAGCTTGTATTCACAAAAACTTAAGCCTCACAACACCTTTACCTTTTCAGTATCTTCATCACTATCATTCTGTCCATTTCCATAGAGCTGGGCGTAAAGTCTCCAGATCTCCCCATCATTTGTCACTCGTGAAGTCACTCTGCCCAAGAGCTCTTGCAACTTCCCCTTCAATCCGCTCGCTGCTTCTCCAGCCCGATCAGCCATTCCATCCACTACTGCCCTGACCAGAATAGCCAGCACCTTGGAAAAGCAGCAGGAAAGAGTTTTTGTTTCAACTTGTTTTGTTTTGTCAGTAAGTAAAATGAGCATCTCGATAGCTGCAATATTTGCTCTCTATTAATGGTTCAGTAAAATACAAATGTAGTACAATATGACAAATGTAGAGTTTACAGAGAAACACGTTATTAGGGGAATAATTCAACTCTGTTAAACCTCATCCAAAAGATTGTATAGTTGGTGAAGATAAGAGCTAAGAAGGAAATTATGGGTTAGCCTGGCAAGCAAGCGTGAAAGAGAATGCAGGAAGAGAATAAGAAATTGTGGCAGTGTCATAATGATATTTTCACCTTATAATCTGCTCATAAAAAAAAAAAAAAACAACTCTGTTTACAGCTGGAACTTGACTACATTTCAGCAATGGAAGAGACTGTTGTTTACAGGACTTCTGTTTCATTAACTGCAGAAATTGAAAGCTCTGTAGTGCAGGAGCTGGGAAACTGGAAGGCAACTGAATACTACTCTAGAAAATTCTGTGTTTATTGCAGTCATGATGAGTGATTGGTCAAGTCACTTAAATCAAACTTTACAAGTACTCATTCCACGGCCTTATTTTCTGAGTCACTGGCTTGAGAATGTGGGATCTGACCTGCAGAAATGCTCAGCACTTGCAGCTGCTGGGGAACTCAATGGGAGCTGTGCTTTGCATATATAAAATGCTACATAACACCAAGCGTCCCACGAAAAACAATAACCACCACCACCACAAATCCTCATGTCTTCAAGACTTCAAAATGGACACTCGGAATTGGAAGCTAGTTTCATTGTGCCTTAGTTCCTTATCAGTAAAATAAGAAATAGCAAACGCAGGTCAATTAAGACATGGGAACATATGGCGAATTAGAATAAAATCCCTTCCAGCTGTGGCTCATTAAGTGAGAACTACCTACCCCATGTAGTGCATGAGAAAGGGAGACTGATGGTAAAACAAAATGGTAGTCCCGTACAGCAAGCATTCAAGATAGGCAAATAAAAGATGTGTAAGCAGCCTTCATGCTGGTACATCCTAACTTCTGAGACGGTGATTTGGCAGCCCTAATATTCAACTTCAACATTTTTGTCTAAGTTATATTAATATTTTCAATGAAAACACATTAATAGCAATATTAATAGCAAGAGTAATGAAAACCGATTTCAACGATGATTTGTGAATACCTCCAAACCATCGCTGTTCTCATAAAAGTAGGACACAGGTACATCCTCACAAGCCAAGATGCAGCTTGGTGGCAGAAAATAACGCAAAAGTTATCACAGTACTAAAGTATATTACATTTAAAATAAAAACATATGAAGTTTAGTATTTGTGACACATCCTGCTCCTAATACAACTTTTCTTCTACAGAACATCTCAATTACCATACATCCCAAAAATCATTTACTGAGTTCTACCAAATATGGTAAACCCTTCGCTAATAACAGTTAAATCAAAACGGCTGATGGCGTTATGAAATAAATCTATGCAACTAACGAAAGAATAAAAGTGAAAAAATTACCCGCCCCCAGTTTCTTTTTGGAATTCATATGAAACCACAGTAGCAGAAACATTCAAATACCAGCTAAACAAACAAACAACCTCCCCCACCCAAATTTGGAGTACATCTTTTATAAAATAACATGACAAAACAGGCTGTTTTTTTCCTTTTCTTTCTACTAAAAGGCTCAGTTTCTCACTCAAGATGATGGAAAACTATTACTAGTCCACAAGTTCTGAAATTCATACTGCATAAGGATCTAAGAGTAGTCTTGGGGATTCCATATACGTATATGGGACTTCTCAATCAATTTCTTAGTTGACAGTAAGAAAATTGCATCTCAAAGTTCTAAAAGTTAGTTCAGATGAATATCACCTGTACCTCCTAAGAGTTTTATAGCTGATATTTTATCTGCGCATGAAAAGTTTCCTCAGTCATTAGAATTTAGCTACTGAAAAATAGCCTTTATTCCCATAAAGTTCAGGCTTTGCTTATACTTTCACCACAAACTATCTCCTTTTCCTCATAATTCATCATCTAAGCATTAGCATTACAGCAGTTAAAATAAAACCAGTGTGAAAGCCTGGATTAAATGGTCCATTAAATATTAATGAAACATTAACACTACATGGCTGTGCCCAGGTGTTAAATAATGCCACTTAGAATCGCAAGTGAATTGTACTGATCATCAAGAAGTACTAGCAATCTAACTGAGCTTTCCATGATTAGAGCATTGCTTTCAGTGTTAAACTTTAACATCTCAAAGACATGAATTAAACCGCCATCTATACTAAACTAATATATTAAATCAGCGCTCTATTGCCCAGTATCCCATGCAAGCTGTAGTATTTTTCTTTATGCCTCTTCTAAAGAACTGTGCCCCATATGACCACTGTGAAGAGAATCTGTGTTTAACATGTCACGCCATCTGCATTCTTCCTCCTCCTTTGCTTTTGTGAATAACATGTGTTTACTAAAATCCAAACAAAACCTACCAAGCTACAAAACCTCGGACAGAAACAAACTGAACCACTTTTACATGTCATGATCTCTATCAGTTAATCTCATTACACAGTTGCTCTTCTCCAAATAGCTCATTTCATTTAAAAATGCACTTGGTCAACACATTTTTAAAAGCTTCCTTAATGCTAATCAAA